GGATGCATACACGGAATTCGAGTGTACACACACATGCACATGGCGACAATGGCGCCCGGCCCAGAATCAGGTCGACTCCACGGTCCACCCCCCTCGCCTTGCATCCAGCCCTAGGTAAGCTACTCACCCCGAGGATGACGCTCCCCGTCACGTGCTCGCGGCCTGCGTGGTACAGCCGGTTAGCGTCCCACCCACCAGTCCCTCACGCTGCCCGGCTCGTTGCCCAGCCCCCCCCCTTCCAACAACGACTGCACGAACGAGCGCACGGGCGCCTGGGCGCCTCGCAGCAGCCTTGCCCCCATCCCTATGAAGCCAGCTTACCCCGAGGACGGCGCTCCCCGTCACGTGCTCGCGCCCTGCATGGTACAGCCGGTTGGCGTTCCACCAGTCACGCACACTCCCCGGCTCGTTGCCCAGCCCCCCGTCCGACAGCGACTGAATGAGAACCCCCCTAGGGGGCCGTGCTCTCAAGAAAACTCACATCCCCAGACAGTGACTGCACAAGCGCGCGCACGGGGGTCTCAGAAACCTTGCCCCCATCCCAATAAAGCAAACTCACCCCGAGAGTGACGCTCCCAGTGACATGCTCCCGCCCCGCGTGGTACAGCCGGTTGGCGTTCCACCAGTCGCGCACGCTCCCCGGCTCGTTGGCCAGCCCCGCGTCCGACAGCGACTGCACGAACGCGCGCACGGGCGCCTTGCGCTCCTCAGGCCACGTGCCGTGCCAGATGAGGTAGACGGTGATGGGGTCTGAGAGCACTGCGCCGCCGTGGTACGAGACGGGCTTCGGGGCGAAGTCGATGGCTGTGTAGAGGAGAACCGGGGGAATCATGGGAGAGCAAGGGCAACGTGCCGTGCGAGATGAGGAAGACGGTGATGGGGTCCGAGAGGACTGCTCCGCCGTGGTACCTTTTGAGTCGACTCAAAAGTCGCTCCGCCGTGGTACGAGATGGGCTTGGGAGCGGAGTTCACGGCTGGGGGAAGGAAAAGTGGGAGAGGGGTGAGGGAGACGGGAAGCGCGCCGAGCCAAATGAGGCAGACAGTTATGCCAGATGACGCAGTCGCACGGGTAGGGCGACTGTGCATGGCGGCTGGATCTAGACTACAAGTCCCGCAGCAAGGCACGGCGGAGAGAACGTACGCTGGTCGGTGTAAGGGAGCATCCAGCCCTTGGACTTGAACACTGGCGACGACGAAGGGGAGGACGATGGGGAGGGCGATGGGGAGGGCGATGGAGCTTAGAAGCAGCGAGGAACTATTGATATGAATGACGCAGCGAGCTTACGCTGGTCGGTGTAGGGGAGCTTCCAGCCCTTGGACTTGAACACGGGCGCCGATGATGATGAGGATGAGGACGCCGGCCCACTGCTGCTGTCCATCGCGCCATTCGCCAGCGCGTTGACGACGCTCGCGTCATTCCCCGCCGCCACGAACGGCCCGGCTCCAACGCCGCCATCAGCGGCGGTATCGGCGCTAGCGCCTTGAGCGGCGTCCTTGAAGTAGGGGCCGATGCCCAGAAGGCCGATGGACTTGCGCGCATCCGACGCTGCCGCGACCACCGGACCCTCTGGGGGAGGGAGGGGGTGGGGGGGGGGAGAACGGGGAAGAACGGGGATAAGCGGCGGTGGTGGCTTAAGCGGCGCCCTTGAAGAGGGAGCCGATGCCCAGCAGCCCGATGGACTGGCGCGCCGCAGAGGCGGCCGCCACCACCGGGCCCTCTGGTGGGGGAGAAAGAGCGGGGGAACGACATGAGGAGCGGAGGAGCGGGGGAGCATGAGCAATCAGGAAAAGTGGGTAGGTAGTCGGAAACACAGCAGCCGGAAGGACTTGCGCGCGGCCCGACGCTGCCGCCGAGCGGATTCTCTGGGAAGAGAACGGGGGAGGGTGGCGGGAGGGGAATGAGGAGAAGCAGCGGGGAGAATGAGGAGAGGGGGAACGACGGGGTTCGCGGAGACGAGGCCCGTAGATGTTTGCCTTCATGCACACGAGCTTGCGCGCAGACGACGCCGCCACGACCGCCGGCAGAGCGTGGGAGGGAGAGAAGCAGCAGAAGGGCGCGGGCACAACAGACGAATGGAGGCGAAAGGGGAGGAGCGAAAAGGATGAGGCAGGTCAGCCGACCGAGGCGACTGACGAGGTAGTGAGCAGCATAACGGGCGCCTCGAAGTGGTAGGTGAGCGAAAGAGAATACTACGTTCTGGTACGCACAACGCAGTGAGCAGCATAACGGGCGCCTCGAAGTGGTAACCATCAGCGTACCAGGCGCGGCGGAGGGCGTCTGGCCGAATTTCACTTCCTGCGCCACGCGCCGGTGGCCGAAGGCGCGCGACCACCGCTCCCCCACGAGCACGCGCGCCTTGCCGTCTACGACGGCCTTCACCGCTGCGAGGGGTCAGAGGAAGCGAGAAATAGCAGAGAACTAAGGAACATCAGGGGACATGAGGCTCGTTAGGATACACAGCACGCGCGCATTGCCGGCCTTCACCGCTGTGGACGAGGCAGGGGAAGCGCGGGTAGCACCAAGGGAGTGCACGGGACAAGGAACAAACGGAGGGGGAGGAGGGGGAAGCAGGGAGCGTGGATGATTCAGGAGGCTCGAAAAGCGCGCAGGGCTGCAAGTGGCGGCCTTCCCCGCTGGGATGGGGCAGATGCACAGGAACTATCAGCGAGTTGGTGTTTTAGAATTCTCAGACACCAACTCAGATGCACAGGAACTATCGGCGGAGCTTTTAGGACGGGCCTAACTGCTTCTCAAGATTTCGGCTATGGAGATGAGCTTTTATTGGCGTCAGCAAAACCGTAGCCACGACGAATCCCGGCTCTAGACAGCACTCGCGACAAATCCTGGATTCTGTCTATCTCGGCTCTCGCCAGAACTCCCGACCTTGGATATATTTCGGCTCTAAACAGCACTCGCGACTAATCTTGGATGCTGTCTATCTCGGCCCTATGACAGCACTCCCGATCGACCTTGCATTCCGGTTAATTCGGCTCTTGATAACACTCGCGAATGACCTTGGACTATCTCGGCTCTAGACAGCACACGCGACTAACCTTTGATTCTGTCTATTTCGACTGTTGTTGATAACACTCCCGATTGAACTTGCATTCTGTCTATTTCGGCTCTTAGTAACACTCGCGACTGACCTTGGATTCTGTCAATCTCGGCCCTTGACAGCACCCGTGAATCTGTGAGCTTCACAAACTGCGCTGCTAACGCGCAGACGAGCAGCAGCAGCAGCGACTGATGCACGCCGCGTAACCTCATGATGCTTATGCCGATGCTCAAGCCGATGCCGATGCTGATGCTGATGAGACCCCAACCGAGCTAACCCTAATGCGTTTCAAAGGAGAAACTAGTTTTAGCACAGAGATCCCCGAAAATCCGGTGGCGTACAGTCCAGGTAAAGACTGGTACCGAGGCGGACACTACTAACAATGCCTCCTTTAACCCTATACGAATCGACGTGTCTTCCTCTTTCTTCCTTCGCGGTAAGTCACTCCTTCAACCACCACACGTTCTAGAATCTACACATCCTGCCTGACTGATGATGAGCACAGTACAGGAGCCTTGCTGAGACTGACAAACTGGAGCAGGCAAGGGTTTGCTAGGGGGAGGTGTGTCAGGCGTACACGAGGGGGAGGTGATGCCATGGTTTGGAGTTGTCAGCCAGGAGGAGAACCGCCAGAAGTGGGAAGAATGGGAAGGGAAGAGGAGTGCGGTGAGGTGCCGAGGTCTCTTGGGAATGGGGAAAGTGGCAGGCAGATCCTGCGTCGCGCGACGTAAACGAAAAGGAAACCAGCTATACGAGTAAATCACGACGTTCGTTGGGCTAGTGTGGATTCTTGTTCCTGGAGCCCCCAAGTCATCATCCCTCCCTGGCAGAATGTATGGGGGTTGTTGCTCCAACTCCCCCAGTTGGAGCAAGCGGATTTGCTCCAACCTGTCGTATTCGCTGCTCGTTGTACTGTACAGTATATCGCCCAGTGTTTTGTGGGGGTTTGGTTGGTGACTTTCGGTTGTGCTGTGCCGTTCTTTCAGTCGCCTGAAAACAAATCTGCTGCGAGGAGCCACCAACCACCGTCCAATCTCAACGGACCAGGTCATCCGCCTGCGACACGGTTACCCAGCTCTAGCTTTGTTGTTTCTGCAGATTCTGTGTTTGGGAGTGTCGTCCTCGTCGGGCTCAAACCAGCTTTGAACCGGAAAACGAAACTAGTGAAACAATCTTGAAAATTTTGGCGAGGGGCTCTGTTTTGCGCGGCGGTCCGGGACTTTGAGTGTTCAAATTGACACGAAGTAAAAATGTCTTTCGGCGTGAGCAATTCGAGGCTCTGCAGAGTGACATCAAGTTGTACAATGGTTTCGTTGTTCTTCGTTGAGTGCTACACGACCTCTAGTTGGGCGAAATACACAAAGGCTCTCTCTGTATTCACGAAGCTGGTGAGTGGTGAGGTGTCGCAGTACCAGCAGCTTCACCAACCGAGCCTATGTTGAATCTTGAGACAGCGGGACATTGCAGGGTCCATATTACACGTCACCACGCATCTCAGTTGACGCATCCTGGCCTTGCTGGATGCTGTTCACGGGACCACGGAGGGATAGGGCAACTGAACAGTGCGAATCTGACAAAACAGCGTTTTCTGCCACCAAGCCTGGCGGCCCGTTGGCTGGGCTTGGGAACTGGTTTGGGTGAATGGGACAACAAAGCAGCCAAATCGCGCATCCTCGATAAAGGCATCACCAAAACCTGTGGTACAGTTCACCTGTAAAATATCAACGGTCCTTTCTGAGTTCTGAGGGTATGTCCTAGGCGTTCGTTTCTTGGCCAAAACCCTACTGAACCGTTTTACGGAATGATTCGATCCTTCTGAAACGCAATCCAGCTCACTCAACCGCATCCGGACGTACACTTAGGACACGCCCTGAATCCTCCTCATGCCGTGTGCAGGTGTTGCTTGCCCATAGCACTTGGCCAGCCATGATCATACAGAACGTAGGAACCATAGGCTCCTTCGTCATCGTAAGCAGCTGACTCATAACCTAATTGTTCCATTCCAGCCGTTTCAGACACCCGCCATTTCAGAATCGAGGCCTCTCCGCTGCATGTGCCTGTCCCCTAATTATCAGCATTGTGCTTATCTCCAGTGACCGTTGCATTGGACTCATTTTGTTGTCGTATCAAGCAGTTGAATAGTACGACGTCACGTCTGTGACGTCGAGTCACCGATTCTGAACGTACAAGAAGCTTCTCGGACGTGAGAAAACGCTGTACCGCGCTGGGACGTCGGATGACGTCGTTGTTCTTACACTTTATACTCGCCCTTAGCTCCCTCACAAGCACGCTTACATCATAAGGTCCTAATATTTAATTTATTCTTTCTACCGCGTTCATTAATGGGATGGGTATCGCTTTCGTCGTACTGTTGACGTCTAGCTGACTCGACCTGGACCAGAATTTCTTTCCTCGATAGCATACCTTTCGTTGCGTCTAGATTCATTGAACATGGCGGCCGATCTGACGTCCGACATTAGGGTGCTGGTGGGGATGCGCGACGACGAGCACTGCCGGCAGGCGTTAGAATGGACGATCAGAGAATTCAGCCGGCGGAAAGACAAAACCGTCTGCCTCCTGCTGACGCACGTCGTCACCGAGCTCCGCAACTCAGGTTCGCCACGTGGACTGCTGATGTGGCTCAGGTGACGTGTCAGTTACGGATGGCAGGTCATGATACGGGTAACGGTCATCTGAAACCGCGTGCTGGCAGCTTATTCCCTTCATTTTGAGGTTCCCCTTCCGTCTTCCCCCCCATTTTCCCCCGTCTCCCCTTGCCCCCTCGCATGCAGCGGGCAATGTGGCGAGGTTAAGCGCGGCGGACAGGACGAGCGCGGTGGTGCGCACCTGCGACCGCGTGCTGCCAGCACACCCCTTTCCGTTGCCCTTATCCCCCGTCTCCCGTCATTTCTCCTCTCTTCGCTTCCTCCAGCGGGCAATGTGGTGAGATTAAGCGAGGCGGACGGCCCGAGCGTGGCGGTACACATCTGCGACCGACTCGTCTCCCCCACCTCCTCCTTTCCCCCCTTCCCCCCCTCCCCCCCCCTCCCCCTCCCCACACACACATCCAGCGGGCAATGTGGTGCGCCTATCGGAGGCGGACGGCCCGAGCGTGGCGGTGCACATCTGCGACCGCGTGCTGCCGCTCCTGGAGGCCATGCAGGACGTCAGCGACGACGCGGGGGTGAGTGATTCGGTTGGGCTTGGTGCATAGATGTGCCGCATGGGGCAAGGTGCATGGAGCAGTGACCGCGTGCTGCCGCGCCTGGAGGCCATGGAGGACGTCAGCGACGACGCTGGGGTGAGTGATTCGGTAATACGTGGGACCGGATGCTGGGGTGAGAGGTTGGGTTAGGTGCATAGGTGTGCCGTATGGTGCACATCTGCGACCGCGTGCTGCTGCTCCTGGAGGCCATGCAGGACGTCAGCGACGACGCGGGGGTGGGTGGGGTGAGGGGCATGGGAGAGTGGGGTTTTGTGCGCACTTCAATGCTGCGTGCTGCCGCTCCTGGAGGCCATGCAGGGCGTTAAGGACGAGTGGGTTAGGGTGCACGAGGCATGCTGGTGAATCGTATAGCACCGAAGAAGGGAGAAGGGAGGGGCTTGGAAGGGGGGAGGCTGTCTGTGGAGGATGGGGAGAGGAAGGGGGGTTAAGACACGGAGGTAAGCAGTTGAGGGAGGGAGGTAGTGATCAACGGTTAAGACACTCTATTCACCCCCCACCCCCACCCCCCCCCCCCCCCCAGCTACCTTCGGCGGTGCATTGTGATAAATAACGAGGACACAGGAGCCGCCATCCTCACTCCGCATTCCCTGTTCTCCTTCTGTTATCCCCTCTATTCACTCTCCCCCCCCAGCTACCTTCAACGGTGCACGTGATCAAGAACGAGGACACGGGAGCCGCCATTCTCGAGGCAGCATCGAAGCTGGAGGCCACCCACATCGTGCTCGCCTCTGCTGCTGCTAAAGCTGCCAGCCAGTGAGTATCTTTGGAGTGGGTGGGTGGGGCTAGAATCACAGGGTATGCGCAAAGGGTCACGCTAAGGAGGGTGCAGCGTCGAAGCTGGAGGCCACCCACATCGTGCTCGCCTCTGCTGCTGCTAAAGCTGCCAGCCAGTGAGTAGGTTGGGAGTGGGTGGGTGGGGCTAGAATCACAGGGTATGCACAAGGGGTCGCTCGAAGGAGGGTGCAGCATCGAAGCTGGAGGCCACCCACATCGTGCTCGCCTCTGCTGCCGCCAGGGCCGCCAGCCAGTGAGTTGGTGAAGAGTGAGTGGGGTGGGAAGTGGGTGGGAGGGGCTAGAAGCACGGGATGCACAAGTGGGTGAGTCCTAGGCCTTCCTTAGAAGCACTAAGATTGGCCTGATGGGCGAGCGGGCCGGCGGGCGAGCGGGCAGGCGAACGAGAGGGCAGGAGAACGAGCGGGTGGGTGAACGGGCGGGCGGGCGAACAAGCGGGCGGGCAAGCGGGCGAGTCCAAGCTACCAGCTGGTCCAACCCTGTTCATTATTGAAGACTCATGCTAGCTGTGCTGTGTGCCTGTATGCCTCTTTTGTGCCTGTATGCCTCTGTTGTGCCTGTATGCCTCCTGTGTGCCTGTGTGCCTGTGTGCCTCCCGTATACACAGGTGGCACACCATCAATGCGTGCTCAGATGCGTCAAACCTTCAAACCTGCCACCGGGTGCACTTTTGAGTCGACTCAAAAGTCACCTGTGCTGTGCGCCTGAATGCCTCCTGTGTGCCTGTGTGCCTCCTGGGTGCCTCCCGTATGCACAGGTGGCACACCATCAACGTGTGCTCAGACGAATCGAAGCTCCCACCGGGGGCGACGCTCTTTGTGATTGAAGATGGGAAGAAGCTCAGAACCATCACCTCGGGCCAGCCACCTGCTGCCACCTCTGTGAGCCTTTCTTCTTCCACTCCCTGCTGCTCCTCACTTGCTCCAGTCACTGCCCTCAAAACCATCACCTCGGGCCAGCCACCTGCTGCCTCTGTAAGCCCTACATCCACTCCCTGCTGCTGACATCTCTCGCGTGTTATGAGTCCATTTTTAGTCGACTCAAAAGTAGACTCATAACACTCCGGCCAGCCACCTGCTGCTACTTCCGTAAGCCCTTCTTCCTCCATTCCCACCTGCTGACGAATCGAAGCTCCCACCGGGGGCGACGCTCTTTGTGATTGAGGATGGGAGGAAGCTGAAAACCATCACCTGGGGGCAGCCACCTGCTGCCACCTCTGTGAGCCCTTCTTCTTCCACTCCCCGCTTCTCCTCACTCGCCCCAGTCACTGCCCTCAAAACCATCACCTCCGGCCAGCCACCTGGTGCCACCTCTGTGAGCCCTCTCTGCACAGCGGGGATGTTAGCAGTGGGGAACGCAAACCCTTCTTCTTCCATTCCCTGCTGCTGTCATGCCTTCCGCCTTTGCTCTCCTTTTGAGGCGACTCAAAAACCACCAGCTGCCACCTCTGTAAGCCTTTCTTCTTGCATTCCCCGCTGCTGACATCCCTCTCGCCTTTGCCCTCCCTGTACCTGTCATCGCCACACTTGCCCCATTCAATGCCCTCTTATTTTTTGCCTCATGCTCCCCCCTTACTCGTTTCTCTTCCACCTGCTGCGTCCGTTTCCCGCAACGCACAGGCCATCACAGGATGTGTTTTGTTTTGGAGGGATTTCAAGAACAAAACACTGCCTCATGCTCCCCCTCTTACTCATTCCTCTTCCTCCTGCTGCGTCTATTTCACGCAATGCACAGGCCATCACAGCAGGGTATGCGGCGCGGCACCAGCGTTCGAGCAGCAGCTGCCCGGCATTCAGGAGCAGGAGGGGGGCGGCGGCACATACAAGCCATGGTCATTCCCTCAACAACTCCCTTCCTGCTGCCCCACCCCCCCGCCCCCTCTTCTCCTCTTTTCCTCAGACCGTCACAGCGGGGTACGCCACGCCAGCGTTCCAGCAGCAGCTCCCAGGCATACAGGAGGGGGGCAGCGGCACACATGAGTCCTCCCTGGCTCCGACTCCCGCCCCTGCCCTGCTGCCGCTGGGGGTGGGGGAGCAGCGGCAGCAGCAGCAGGTGCAGGGAGTGCTCCAGGAGACGAGGGGCTCTCCGCCTTAGAGCTAGCCCGGCGCAACTACCGCCTACAAGCAGCTGCTAAGGCCAACGCTGAGGGGGGCGCGGCTGGAGGGGGCGCAGGGGGAGGGGCAGGGGAAGGCGCAGGGGGGGGCGCAGGGGGAGGCGCGCCAGGTAAGGGGAAGGGGAAGGTGAAACCCCCAGTGGCGGCTAAGGTGCGGCTGGAGAAGAAGCTTCAGGAGAGAGAGGGGCAGTCGAGCAAGCGGTTGAGCCAGAACAGCAGTGGCCCCGCACCTGCAGTATCAGGAACAGTAGCAGCAGGAGGGGCAGGAGGGGCAGGAGGGGCAGGAGCAGAAGGAGGAGGAGGAGGACGAGGAGGAGGACGAGGACAAGGAGCGGGAGGAGGAGGGGGAGAAGCCACAGCAGGAGACAGCACGAGCAGCAGCAGCATCCCTACAATCGCCAACCCGCCCACATCAAACCCCCTCGCCTCCTCCCTCTCTCTCCGCCTCTCCACCTCCGAACCCGACGCGCTCCCTCGGCAAGATTTCAAGCAGTACACTCTTGAAGAACTACAGGCGGCTATGGACCATTTCTGGCCGAACAACATCTGTGGGGAGGGCAGCTATGGCGTTGTGTACAAGGGGTGGCTGGACGGGCAAGCGGTGGCGATTAAACAACTCAAGAACCCCGACGCCAAGGCGGCACTCGATGAGATCGAGAGAGAGGTGGGTGGGTGTGTAAGCGTGTGTGAGAGAGAGAGAGGAGGTGAGAGTGCGTGCAAGTGTGTGTCGAACAGCATCTGTGGGAGGGCAGCAACGGCCTGGTGTACAACGGGCTGTTGGACGGACAGCCCATGGCGATCAAACAGCTGAAGAGCCCGAGGCAGCAGTGGATGAGATGGAGAGAGGGGGAATGTGTGTGTGGGAGAGCGGCTCAGCGGCTCAGCGGGTCAGCGGGTCAGCGGCTCAGTGGGAGGGTTGGTCACTGGTGCCCGAGTTCCTCTGTGTGAGATGCCTCTCTCACGCCCCTCCCAACCCCCATCTTTGAGGCGCCTCAAAAATAGACTCCTCACGCATAGTTTTGAGGTGCCTCAAAAATAGACTCCTCACACATAGTTTTGAGCCGCCTGAAAACTAGACTTCATCCTGCATGGAGGGTTGGTCACTGATGCCCGAGTTCCTCTGTGTGAGATGCCTCAATCACGCCCCTCCCAAACCCCATCTTCCGATCCCCCAGGTGGAGGTGCAGAAGCGGATCGACCACCCCAACGCAGTGCGCCTGCTGGGCTACTGCATGGAGGACCGCTCCCTGGTCTACGAGTTCCTCTCTAACGGCTCTCTGGAGGACCGCATGCTCTGTGTGGGCGGCACGCCACCTCTTATGTGGCCGGAGCGGTGCCGAATAGCCATGGAGGTGAGTCAACGCATGGCAATGGCACTTGCTCTGTGCCTGTGAGTTGTGTGTCATTGGAGGACCGCTCGCTGGTTTACGTGTTCCTCTCCAACGGCTCTCTGGAGGACCGCATGCTCTGTGTGGGTGGCACGCCGCCCCTCATGTGGCCGGAGAGGTGCCAAATAGCCATGGAGGTGAGTCAACGCATGGCAACGACACTTGCTCTGTCTCTGTGTTGTGTGTGCTGTGAGTTGTGTGCTGTGAGTCATCGGAGGACCGCTCGCTGGTCTACGAGTTCCTATCCAACGACTCTCTGGAGGACAGGATGCTCTGTGTGGGCGGCACGCCACCTCTCATGTGACCCGAGAGGTGCAGAATAGCCATGGAGATGAGAGCTGTGGGTGACAGTTGTGAGAGTTGGTGCAAGTGGTGATTCTGTGTGGGCGGCACGCCACCTCTCATGTGGCCCGAGAGGTGCAGAATAGCCATGGAGGTGAGAGCTGTAGGTGACAGTTGTGAGAGTTGGTGCAAGTGGTGATTCTGTGTGGGCGGCACGCCACCTCTCATGTGGCCCAAGAGGTGCAGAATAGCCATGGAGGTGAGAGCTGTGGGTGAGAATTGTGAGAGTTGGTGCAAGTGGTGGTTCTGTATGGGCGGCACACCACCTCTCATGTGGCCCGAGAGGTGCAGAATAGCCATGGAGGTGAGAGGTGTAGGTGACTGTAGCGTCACGGGTGTGGATGTAGCCTGTGGGTGACTGCAACGCGTGGGGTGTGGGATGTAGCCTGTGAGTGCTGCACATGCACGCCGCCCCTCATGTGGCCCGAGTGGTGCCAAATAGCCATGGAGGTGGGAGATGGTGCAAGTGGTGATGCTGTGTGGGCGGCACTCCGCCCTTCATGTGGCAGGAACGGTGACGGATTGGCCTGGAGGTGAGTCAAGGTCATGGCCGCGGTGCTTGCTGTGTGTCTGTGTCTTCGGTGAGTCAAAGCATGGGGGATGCATGGGAGGATGCATGGGGGGATGCATGGGGGATGCATGGGGGGGATGCATGGGGGGGATGCATGGGGAGATGAATTGGGGGGCATGCGGAAGAGGGGGGGATGCATGGGGGGGAGATGCATGGGGGGATGCATGGAGGGGATGCATGGGGGGATGAATGGGGGGGATGCGGGCGGGGGGGATGCATGGGGGAGGGGAGGATGCATGGAGGGGGGATGCATGGGGGGGGGATGCATGGGGGGGGGAATGCATGGCGATGGATGCATGGTGGGGGGATTTGCATGGGGGAGGGGGATGCATGGGGGGGGATGCATGGGGGATTGGAAGAATGGGGGACTGCATCCGCATGCTCTGTGGTTGTGGAATGTACACAGCTCTGCACGCTTCTGAGGTTGTGGAATTGACGCCGCGTCTTGCCAATGGGCTTCTCAATCAATCCCCCCCTTCCTTGTCTGCCCTCTCCCCCCTCACACCAGGTGCCAGCAGGCCTGCAGCACCTGCACACGCGGAAGCCCCCCATAGTGCACCGGGACGTCAAGCCCGCCAACGTGCTCCTGGACGAATACTTTACTGCCAAGCTCGGGGACGTGGGGCTGTAACGCCTCATGGGGGACCTGGCTCGGCTCTGACTCTCCCATCCACCTTTCTCCTCTCCGTCCCGCCCAACTGCCAGGTAGCAGCGGGTTTGCAGCACCCATAGTCCACCAGGACGTCAAGCCCGCCAACGTGCTCCTGGACGACAACGTCACTGCCAAGCTCAGAGACGTGGGGCTGGCGAGGCTCATGGGGGACCTTATAGGGGACGTAGCCCTTTCTCCCCTGTTGCTTACCCAACCCTTCCCTTGCCTTTTTCTCCTTCCATCTCCCCACTAACCCAAACAGGTGGCAGCGGGCCTGCAGCATCTGCACACGCGGAAGCCCCCCATAGTGCACCGGGACGTCAAGCCCGCCAACGTGTTGCTTGACGACAACTTCACTGCCAAGCTCGGGGACGTGGGGCTGGCGCGCCTCATGGGGGACCTCGCCCCGGGCCACTCGCACGTGGTGCGGAAATCAGTCATCGTAGGCACCGAGCACTACGTCGACCCCGAGTATCTATGCGCCAGACGAGGGTACCTCGGGCCGAAATCCGACGTGTACTCGTTTGGCATCGTGCTGCTGCAGATGTTGGTAGGGGATGTTCCGAACCCGAGGAGAATCGACGCTGCGGTGGAGAAGGAGGAGTTGGCGGTGTTGTTGGATCCCAGGGCTGGGGAGTGGCCCCCGAACCTCGCGATGGACCTAGCGAATCTCGGCCTTTGGTGCGCCGAGATGGACCGCCGAGATCGGCCGGATCTGACGGAGGAGGTGATCCCGGCGCTGCTGGAGATATGTGAGGCGGCGGCTGAGGCGGTCGTGGAGTGGGAGGGGAAGCAGGAGGCGGTGCGAGAGAGGCAGCGGCAGGAGAGGGAGCAGAGGGAGGAGAAGGAGAGGGAGAGGAGGGAGGAGGAGGCGCGGAGAGTGAAGGAGCGGCAGGAGGCAGAGACAGGGAGGAGGAAAGAGCAGGAGGGGGGTGATGGTGGTGCGAAGGGGAACGGTGGAGGAGGGAAGCTGGATGGCAGTGGTGGTGGGGGATGGGCGATGGAGCTCCCAAGGCACAAGGAGGATGCTGTGTGCTGCTATGATGCTGGTATGGGGGTAGCCGCTATGCAGCTGGGCTAGGACATGAGCTGGCGGGCAGTGAGCAGGTCCCAAGGCACAAGGAGGATGCTGTTTGTTGCTAGTATGATGCTGTTGTTGGGGTAGCTGGTATTAGCTAGCGTAGGCAAGGCACTAATGAGCTGGCTGGCTTACATCCATGTGCTGTCAGGCATGCGTGCGCCCATGTGAAGGGGGTACATACATCAGCTGGCAGGGGGTAGAGTAGTGACCAGGCCCCCAGAAGTCAGGAAAAATTTCCTGATTCAGGAAAAAAACAGGGTGTTGAGGGGTACCAGCCCTGATTTACTAGGGTTTTGTTTTTGGCATTTCCTGGAATTTCAGGGTTTTTTTGTAAGGGATATTTGTCAGCTCAGTTTTTTTTTGCAAGGGATCCTGAAATTTCAGACTTGTATCGAGCATGGGTTCTGATTTTGTCTAAGGCGTGATTTCCGGGTCCCCCCCAAAATTACAGCGATATGCGCATATTCCCCCATAAATCTGGCCTGGCTGCCAGGTTCCCGCCTGCAGGCATCGTTTGGTGACTCACATGTTGCCGCGCTGCCTCACGGCATTGGTCCTTCTCAAAGTTTGGTTTGAGGGTCGGCCAGCACACTGTTTGGCTGCATGCGTGGATTGGTTGCCCATGTAAATGCTGCCTGAATAGCTAATCACTGACGGAAACGTGTACGCCAGCGATGACGACCCAGCTTCAACACCACACACCGGTTCGACGCCGACGCGCATGCGCCGCGCTAGTTTCGGTCCGGATTCAGGAATCCAGGAAGCCAACAGTGCGTGGCTGGTTAACTGTTCGCGCCTCGCCATCGTTCCCTTTCCCCCCTGCGTCTTCTTCATATGTTTCTTCCCACGGTAGAAACAGCCACTACTTCAGCCTCTCCCAGCGTGACCTTCCCCCTGTAGTGTTTTTGTTTTACAACCACTCCGTCACGTGTCTCTGCTCGTCGACCACCCTGGTGAGCCCCGTCCTCATGCCTGAGTCAGGCGACGTGGAATTGGACGACGATGGCGACGACAGCGGCAGTCACCGTGCCGAATGTTAAGAAGCTAGGTTAGCTAGGAAGGTAGGCGGCCATGAAATGGCGTGAGATTTAGGAAGGAGAAAGTTGACGAGAGAAAAGAGGAGAGGCTAGGAAGAGAGAGGCATACAAGGAGGGAGTTGTACCCTCCACACTAGAGTTCGGTAACCTACCAAGCCTACCAATTATATAACACAATATATCATTTAATACACCCCCTAGGCTTGGTAGTCACAAGCCCACCCAACACACACACCCCCTAACCCCTTACACCCCCATGCTCGAGATCAGCCAGGTATCTATCCCTCGGGCTTGGCATGGTGACATCCTCCGGCGAGAGGCAGCGCGGGCAACGGCCATGGCTGAAGGCTCTCGGCGGTGTGGCACGGCGAGGCGACGACCGGGTAGAAGACATCAGATGCGGCAGGAGGAAGAGGAGACGCAGGGGAAGGGGGGGGGGGGGGGGGGGGGGGGGCGCGAATCTTCAGCGACGCGCCATGGGTGGCGCGGCGCTTACTGGCGGGAGAGGGAGAATCTTCAGCGAGGCACCATGGGTGGCGCGACGCTTACTGGTGTGAGGGCGTTACGACTGGCGCCTAGGACAGGGCGCTGGCCGCAGCTGTCCGTGCGCTGGCATGGCGAAGCCGCCACGGCAGCACGATGGCACGGCGACACAGCGGCACGGCGGCCCGGCGGCACCGTGGCATGGCAGCATGACGGGACGGCGACACTAAGGCACTGAGGCACGGCGATGTCACGGGGTCGGCGCGGAGTGACGGGGCCGGCGTGGCGTGACGGGGCCAGCACGGCGTGACGGGGCCAGAGCGGGGTGACGGGTCCAGCGCAGCGTGACGGGGCCGGCGCGGCGTCACGGGGCCAGCGCGGCGTGACGGGGCCAGCGCGGAGTGACGGGGCCAGCGCGGCGGGACGAGGGGGGGGGGGGAGGGGGAGTACGCTGCGGAAGCTTGATGAGAAGGCCCCAGCGAAAAGGGCCTGCTCTGATACCATGTTAAGAAGCTATGTTAGCTAGGAAGGTAGGCGACCATGAAATGGCGTGAGATTTAGGAAGGAGAAAGTTGACGAGAGAAAAGAGGAGAGACTAGGAAGAGAGAGGCATACAAGGAGGGAGTTGTACCCTCTTCAGTAGAGTTCAGTAACCTACCAAGCCTACCAATTATATAACATAATATATAATTAACACCGATGCCCGCACTGGGTTTGACATGCTCCTTTCGACGCTAGGTAGTTTCCCAAAGGCTCCTCGTAACCCTCCGACGGAACAGAACCCCCTATGCGCCTTGCAGTCGGTCGCCACAACTTCTCAAGCTGTTGTCGAGCTGACTTCCGCGCCTAGTCCGGGCCCATCGCTGGCTGATGCTTTTACTTGTAGTACAGGTTCCACCACCCCTGTGCGGTCGATACCGGCGAACCACCCAGTGGAATTTCCCAGGCGGTCAGCCGACGATGCCCCGCCCCTCAGCCATGTGCAAAGACGACGACAGCGATGGCGACGACCCTACTGCTGCACCCAACAAGTCTCGATCACCTGAGGATGTCTACGGCGAAGCCCTCAACAGGTTTAATACGCGGTGGTCCTAGCGGTTGGCTTATGATTGTTAAAAATGACGCTGGATTCCCTGCGTTTAAATGCAGTATGTGCCTTGAGCATGCAGGACTCAGAGGGAAAGCCGGCAAACGCGGTACAGGGCTGACGGACGCGCAGTCGCAGGCATTCAACAGGCACGCGGGGTCGGCCAAGCATCGCCTAGCCGTGACAAAGCAGCAGGCGGTGCTGCAGGACGTAACCAACCAGATGCGGATCGACCAGCTTCCTCAAGCCGCAGACCTAGAGAAAGAGTGTGTGACCGCGTTGCTTGACGCGCTCTAGTTTTGCTGCAAAGGCAACGAGCCGATGGAAAACTGGATCAGGCTCGTGCGCTACCTCAGCAAACGTCGGCACGAGCACTTCCCCGAGCAGACCTATGGCGCGTACTACAACATGTATTCTTGTGTGTTGTTTAATTTTGTTTTGCATGCATCTATCATGCATAACGAATGTTTATATTTCAGCATACTAATTATGCGTATGCCCTTCGCTGCTGCAGTTATGGGTACGGGGAGTTCACACAGTCCATGGCAACCTAGCTGTAGACAACACAGTTGGACCACCTTCTGAGGAGCCCGTTCATCAGCTTGAGCATCGATGAGAGCACAGACTGCTGCCGCGGTAAGCACCTTATCGTGTTTGCGCACTTCATCCGCGACAACCACCTCGTCTGCGAATACCTGGCCCTGCTGAGCGTCGACAAGGCCGACGCTGCTTCTCTGCTCGCTCTGCTCTTGACTCACCTTAACGCCATCGGTGTCGACCTCCGGCGGGTCGTGGGCATAAGCACCGATGGCGTTGCCGTAATGATGGGGTCGAAGGCTGGGCTTGTGACGCGGCTGCGGATGCAGATTTCGCACTTGGTGTCGCGCGTCTGTATTGTGCACAGGTGAGCCTTGTTGTTTATCGCTATTGTACCTCGGGTTAAGTGCACTGGTGGTTTCCGCATGTGCAATGTGTATTACCCCACTCCCAAGGCCCAACATGTACCATTTTCTGTTCGTTTTATCCCACCCTCCAGAGAGGCACTGACAGCTAAAGTAGCGGCGGATTCCTTGCCAGCGTTCAAGATGGTTGATGATGTCATCAAGGAGCTCGCTGAGTAGTTCGGACGCTCGGGCCCATGGCACCAGCGCTTCTTGGACCTGCAGGATATCTTCACCTCGACGAACCTCGAACTTCAAGGCATTCATAACTTCCGATGGCTCTCCCACTGTGAGGCTGTCATTATGTTATTCAAGGTTCCACCCGCCATAATCGTCATGCTCTCAGAGTGGACGGATACCCGGCTCTCCAGGATAGTCACAAGCTACCGCTTCTGGTTCCTTGTCATGTTCCTTGCTGACGTACTGGAGCAAAATCCTCAACAAGTCCTTCTTAGGAGCGTCAGGTGAGTTTTTCGTTACCGTGACATTGAGTCGTTACTAAATCACCCTGGTTATGTACATACACGTTCCCCGCCCTTCCTCCCCTCCTCCCCCTCTTCCCCACCCCAACCTCAGTTGGAGTACTCGGCCGTCCACGCGTAGATCATCCGCACAACAACCCTGTTGCAAAGCCGCTACGGGGACGGCGAAGACTTCGGCGGGGGACCGAAAGACCGTCTCACCATCTTCCTCACCCGTCACGGCCCGGGCGGTTCTTGCGAGGTCACCGCTGAGGGCGTCGACTCCGAAGGCCGCCCAGCTTCCTTTACCTTCGTGCTGTATCAAGATCGCTTGCTCGGTTATCCGGGGGAGGGCGATCACGACGTGCCGGGATCTCTGCGTGGCCATGGCGACAGGCATGGTGTCGAACTTGAAGGAGCGGCTGGGTGATCTGGGAAAGCTCTCTGGCTGCTGCCTCTTCTCTGTCAACCTCTGGCCCCCTTACTGGGAGAGAGCTGCACGCAAGGCCCAGTGCCGCCCAGTGCCTTGACGTGTTCTTCTCCCTCGTTGCACTTTACCGCGTAGATGAGGCAGAGGAGATTCTTCCTGGCACAAATCAGGAAATCGAGGGAAGGTTGACTCGAGGGCGTGGTGCATTGCATACAATCACGAACGGGGCACCGTTCGAATGGTCAGAACGGTACAGATTTTGGAAAACGGTTCTGGCGTGTTTCAGCTAGATTAACGCGTGGTACTGTACGGTTTGGTCCAGTCACGTGATTGGGAGTCCGTGATCATATGTTACAGTTCTGTAGATAATCTGATTGAGGGCTTCGAGAACGCCGAGTGAGGGGCTGCCCGCCTGCCTGCAGAGGAAACGAAACCTGGCAGGCAGCCTACCACCAATCAGCGTCACGATGAACCGAAACCAATCCAATGAGCCGTTGGATTATGCAGCAGGCAGTGTCTATCGGACGGCTGTATTATATACGCCTGTCAGACTGGCCTTGTGGCCTTACCTCCAGTGGCTGGACTAGTAGTGCCACCCTGGCTTGCTTTAGTTTTGGTTGTATTCTTGCTGACTGGTCTCCAGACCCCTGTCTCAGTGGTTGGAATAGTAGTGCCGCCCTGAGATGTTTACTTCTTGTTTAGTTTCACCCCTTGTATAGCCTAGGGGGTGTGTCAACTTATACATATTAGCTATGTAGAAGTTATAGGCTAGACTGAGGTATGCTTCTAGTGAGTACAACCAACTAGTATTTGTTCTAGGTTTCCACTTCTAGTCATTATTCATTCTCACTTTAACAATTACGCCACTCAATCTAAGATGGTCCTTGCTGTACGGCAGAATTGGAGCTCTCGACGTGACACCAGAGCCGCGATGGCTTGCCATTTGCGTCCTCTGCCTTCACCATCATGATCAAGGCGTTATTCCAGTCCAAGCGTCAGCGCGTCCCAATCACGAATGGTCAGAACGGTACAGATTTTGGAAAACGGTTCTGGCGTGTTTCAGCTAGATTAACGCGTGGTACTGTACGGTTTGGTCCAGTCACGTGATTGGGAGTCCGTGATCATATGTTACAGTTCTGTAGATAATCTGATTGAGGGCTTCGAGAACGCCGAGTGAGGGGCTGCCCGCCTGCCTGCAGAGGAAACGAAACCTGGCAGGCAGCCTACCACCAATCAGCGTCACGATGAACCGAAACCAATCCAATGAGCCGTTGGATTATGCAGCAGGCAGTGTCTATCGGACGGCTGTATGATTCTCAAACCAAACCGAGCATTATTGAGATCGCCAGGTGCAGGAGAGTTGACCACCGCGTTTCTCGTCATAACGCGGTGTGGTGTTGTGGTTGACGAGAAACGTGGTGGTCAACTTACCTGCACCTGGTGTGGTGTTGTGTGGTTCGGTGTGGTGCGGTGGTTGTTGGTTGGGCTATGCATATCATTGTCCAAGCTTGGGCAAATGGTTAGGGCGTATTCCTGCGTCGTGTCATCCCGCGCATGACACCCAAATTTGTCTGTAAGCTAGGTTCAACTCAACCTAGCTTAGGGGCAAATTCGGGTGTCATTTGTGGGCTGACACGGCGCAGGGATCAGCCCTTAGACTGGACAGGACAATTGTTGGGCAGGCAATGGCTGCCGCTACAGGTAATCAAATATCGAGCCTCCACTCCACGGATTGTGTTGTGTGGTTGCTCTGTCTGCCATGGCAATGTCAAGTTGCCAATGTCTATCTCCCTCCTCACCTCAACAGACAGCTGAGAGTGATTTCAATTTCGCCGCCGTGTACAGTACCGTAGTATTCCATAAAATCAGACACAAGTGTCGCTTTGGCATTTGGTAATATCCCCACGGTTTCTATTTTCCGCTTCGCGCGGTGGATTTTTTCTCGGCCAGTGCGTGATCGTCGCGTTCATATTATTAATTCAACTCGTATTGGTTCTCCACAAACTCACTTTCTTAGGAATGGCGGTTTTTAATCCAACTTAAGTTTATTACTTCAACTCGTATCGGTCTTTAATTTTATATTAAGAACCGGTAGAGTACGATCGCTGCTAGAGGCATATTCTCGTGCGTCATGCGTCCTTCCAGCTAGCGCGATTGACCTCCTCGCTTGTTGCCTCTCCCCGGGAGCTAACCGTCCCCTTACTTTGTGCCAAGTTCCGATCCTCCTTGCGATCCCTAGGCTTCTAGCAAGCGCGACCTCCTCGCTTGCTGCCTCTCCCCAGCAGCGAGCCGTCCCCTTACTGTGCACCAAGTGCCGACCCGCCTTGCGCTTCACACCGCATCCCTGGACTTCCCGCCTCGCGCTTGACCTCCTCGCTTGCTTCCTCCCCTAGTGCCAGCAACTGTCCTTGACCTTAAAGCCCATCCCCAGCAACTTTCCCGTAGTAGCTGTATGTTTAACCGTCCTTGACCTTAAAGCCCATCCCCATACTTCCGCTTCCGCCAATGGAGGACTCGCGGAGGCGCGCTGCTGGTGCGCCACCCTCCCGCGGTCCCCCGAACGCCTTCCCCGGCAGCGTTGGCGGCGGAAGCGCAATGAACAGTACCGCTCGGCGCGGCCCTTCCAGCGCCATTGGCGGAGGCGGAGGCGGGAGCAGCGGTGGCGGCGGAGGCGGCGGTAGCACGGCGGGCCGCGGGAGAGCGCGGCCGCTCAGGGGAACTTCCGCTCCCTCTTCCGCTCCGCCGGCGCAGAGAGTCGCAGGGGGCCCTGGCGCAGCTCCGCCAGCCAAGTCCGCTGGAGGTGCGGTGGCGGCGGGCAGAGGCGCGGGGAAGGGGAAAGGTGTGCGCTTGCGCCCGCGACCGCGGGTGCAGTTGCGGAAATACCCCGGATTAAAGCCTGCCATATCGAGCTATAGTAAGCTACGCGCACGCGTCACGGGGCAGCTATTGGAGCCGAAAAAAAAGCTGCGGTTTAGCGATAACGTGGAGGTTGCCACGTGGGACGCTGACGTGGAGGGTGACGGTGACGTGGCACAAGCCAGCGCAGCAGTCGCCGCCACAACTGCCGCCGCGCCTCGCGCGGGGTTTTCGTTCCGGAAAGTGTTTAATAGCGCCGCGGGCGCTGCGGAAAGCGTCGGGGGGACTTTGCTCGGGCAGAAAAAAAAGCCGCTGCCTAAGGATTTACCCACAATGTTTGTCCGACACAAGTCTAAATCCAAGGAGAAAAAGAAATCCTCGAAAAAGGAGACGAACACGCAGGGCGAATGCGTGGATATGAAGGGATTAAAGCCCAAGGAAGGCGAAGCGGAAGAGCCGCGGAAGCAGGGAGACAAAGGAGCGGGAAGGGGGAAGCCGCCGGGAGACAGGTCGCAGCTTTCCAGCGGTGCTCAGTCGTTCGGGCAGCGTGAAAATAAGGGGGATCGGGCAGCAGTGGAAAGTAAATTTGTGGCAGCCGGTAGCAGGAGCATGAAAGCGGATGGCGGAGGGGGAATGGTTGGGGGAACGGGAGGGGGAACGGGAGGGGGGTTAGGAAGGGGAGGGAAGCCTCTGGCAAGTGCGAGTATGCCTAAAGACCAGCGGACGGCAACGGTTGCTGCTGCAGCAGTGGGTGCTGATTCCGCTGGCGTTGCTGGTGGCGCTGCTGTCGCTGCTGTTGCTGCCGGGATGCGAGGACTTGATATAAGTGAGACGGCAGAGGAGGAGGGGCTTGAGAAGGGGGTGGCGGAGGGAGGGGAGGAGGAGGAGGAGGAGGAGGAGGAAGAGGACGATGATAGCGATGAGGAGGAGGAGGAGGAGGAGGAAGAGGAGGAGGAAGAGGAGGAGGAGGAGGAGGAGGAGGAGGAGCGAGGGTATTGGGTGGATGAGGATATAGAAGAGGAGTATGAGGAAGAGATGGAGCAAGAGGAGGCGGAGGGGAAAGGGGAGGCAGAGGAATGGGGAGATGAGGAGACGGAGCGAGGCCCGCTGGATGCTGACGTGGCAGGCTGGGCTGCCAGCCGGCAGCAGAGCATCCAGCTGGCGGGAGGGAGTGACTTGGAGGCAGGGCGGGTGGGAGAGAGGGAGGAGGGGGGAGGGGGAGGGGGAAGCGGGCAGCTGTTGGCGGCGAGCAAGAGCTCAACGGGCTCAGATACACAACGAGCTCTTCGCAGCCCGTCGCCCTTGGCATCCCCTAGAGCCCAGCCACTGCGGCCGCCGTCACAGGTGTCAGAGCCGACGCACGGCCGCAGCCCTTCGCCTTTGGCGTCCCCTAGAGCACAGCCTGGGTCGCAGATAGGGGCAGATGGATCCGAGCTGGGACGGCCTCTGTCAGAAGCCGACAATAACAAGGTGTGGAGTGTCTTGGTTTGATGCAATGACATGCGAAATGATGAGAGTTGAAATGCGATAAAACCTTAAATGTGTTAAACCATGCCTGCCATTGTACCCACACATACTGAATCATCAGTATTCCCTTGGCTATCAACATTGGCGAAACAACACGCCCTTGGTTCGCTCTTTCCTCTTTCTTCATCCGACCCCCCACAGGACCTTGGGATCCCCCCGTCACCCTCCACCGTAGTTTCAGCTTCACCCATGCGCTCTTTGAACCGACCTGCCAGCAAGCGCTCTGCCTCCGCGCAGCTCACAATTACCAGCTTAGATCTGTACGACATTCCTGGTGCTACTGCTGCTGCTTCTAATTCTACTGCTGCTGCTGCTGCTGACGATACCGCTGTGTACAGCCATGGGAGGGGCAAGGGAGCCCTTAATCCCAGCTCTAGACGATCGCAGCCAGGCCAAGATGCGGAGTTTCAGGCTGCCCGGTTCGGTCCTATGTCTGCCCGGGGCACTCGGCCGGCACCCTTGTTCGATGAAGACGTGTTCCCCGGGGAAAGGGGGGATAGAGGAGAAAGGGGAGATAGGGAGGGGAGATAGAGGAGAAAGGGGAGATAGAGGAGAAAGGGGAGATAGAGGAGAAAGGGGAGATAGAGGAGAAAGGGGAGATAGAGGAGAAAGGGGAGATAGAGGAGAAAGGGGAGATAGAGGAGAAAGGGGAGATAGAGGAGAAAGGGGAGATAGAGGAGAAAGGGGAGATAGAGGAGAAAGGGGAGATAGAGGAGAAAGGGGAGATAGAGGAGAAAGGGGAGATAGAGGAGAAAGGGGAGATAGAGGAGAAAGGGGAGATAGAGGAGAAAGGGGAGATAGAGGAGAAAGGGGCAGGCCAGGGAACGTTGGAGGGGTGGAGCAGGGAGGGGGGAGTAGAGGGGGCGGGAGAGGGAGAGGGGGGAATGGTCTGCTGGGGAATGGGAAGGAGGGGGGGGAGGAGGAGGGGAATGGGGAGGAGGAAGTGGAGAGGGGGCGGACGTTGCCAGAAGGGCGTCAACAGGAGGAATGGAAGGGGGAGGAATGGGAGGGGGAGGAATGGGAGGGGGAGGAATGGGAGGGGGGGGAATGGGAGGGGGGGGAATGGGAGGGGGAGGAGGGCGAGGAGGAGGGGTGAGAGGGGGAGCGGGTAGAGGCACCCAAGACGTGCTTGTCCAAGGCTCCAAGTCTCAAAAGGACATCCGGCCTCCAGGTAGGGACGGTGGAGGCTCGGCAGCCGGGGGACCAGGTAGAGGCATGCCGGACGTGCTTGCCGTGGGATCCAAGTCTCAGAAGGATATCCGGACGCCAGGTAGGGATACCGCAGGCTCGGCTACCGGACCTAAGGGTCAGGCTCGGCGGACGTCGCCCTTGCACTATGCTGATGATATGGACGTGGCACGGGTGGGGCAGAGAGACGGGTGGGGGGCAGGAGAGGGGGGAGGAGGACGAGGGGGTGGGGGAGGGGGAGGGGGAGGGGGAGGGGGGATGGGGGGGCAGTACCCTCCCCATACGGACACGTTTGGCCCCATGTCTGTTAGAGTCCCGAGACCGAGATCAATGGCTGAAGATGACTGGGGTGATGCTGCTCGCATGAGGGATGGTAGGGAGAGGGGAGGTGGGGACGGAAGGGGGAGGGCGGGAGGGATGGGGGATGGCAGGGGAGGGGGAGGGGGAGGGGGGATGGGGGAGAGGCCAAGGCGGGTGGGGGATAGGCAGATGGGGCAAGACGGGGGCCCTGGTGGGGGTGTTGTGAGACGACCTGCTGGCCCTGCTAATGTTGCTGGCGGTGGCGGTGGTTACAGTGGTGGTGGCTATGGTGCTCCTGGTGGCGGCGGCGGTGGTTACAGTGCTAGTGGTTACGCTGGTAGCAGCAGTGGCAGTGCAGCATCCCGCACAGGAGGGGGCATGTCCAGCCGGCCGGGAGGAGGTGGTGGGGGGGGATGGGTGGTGGCATGGGTGGTGGGGGGGGGATGGGCGGTGGCATGGGTGGTGGCATGGGCATGGGAGGAGCAGGAGGGGCAGGGGGTGGACCACGGAAGCCGTTGGATTGGAAGGCGCAGATGCAGCAGGCGAGCAAGGATCAGCAGAAGGACCGTATTCTGAGGATGCTGGCGGATGGGTCCCAGGAGAAGAGCCGCAGTGGGTATGGGAAGAGGGGTTAACAGTGAATGGGTCAGGTTGGGGTTGGTACACCAAGGTAAATGCGAGCAAGGAGCAGCAGAGGGACCGGATTCTGAGGATGCTGGCAGACGGATCGCAGGAGAAGAGCCGCGTGGCGGCAGTGGGTATGGGAAGAGAGGGTAAAAAGGGGATGGAGAGGCTGATGCAGCAGGCGCGCACGCAGCAGCAGAAGGACCAGATTCTGAAGATGCTGCTGGCGGGTCGTTTGCAGGAGACGAGCCGCAGTGGGCATGGGAAGAGGGGGTAGGGGAAGGGGGGGGGGTGGTTCGATGCAGCAGGCGGGCAAGCAGCAGCAAGAGGACCGAATCCTGAAGATGCTGGCGGACGGATCACAGGAGAAGAGCCGTATTGGGTATGGGAAGAGAGGGTAACGTGTTTGGGTTATCGAGGGATCGGCGCAGCAAGCACTCGTCAGATCAGATGCAGCAAGTGGGCAAGGAACAGCAGGCGGGCAAGGAGCAGCAGGCGGGCAAGGAGCAGCAGGCGGGCAAGGAGCAGCAGAATGGCGGATGGATCCCATGAGAAGAGCGGAAGTGGCTATGGGAAGCGAGGGTGGACATGCGGGTCAGGGGGGGAATTGACGCAGCAAGCAGTGGTCCGAGGCAGCAGGCAGGCACTGTGCAGCAGAAGGACCGGATCCTGTTGATGCTGGCAGACGGATCTGTGGCGAAGAGCCGCAGTGGCTATGGGGAGAGGGGATAAGGGGGGGGGAAGAGGTTGAAGCAGCAGGCGGGCAAGCAGCAGCAGAAGGGCCAGAAATTGAAGATGCTGGCGGATGGGACACAGGAGAAGAGCCGCGGTGGGTATGGGAAGAGGGGGTAGCTCAGGGACCGGAATTGGTTTTGGGGCACCCTTAGGAATCAGGGTATTCTCATGAGTTCACCCTGATTTGTAAGGGTGCTAGGGGCAAATTTGGCCTCAAAACACATTTTTACCCTTATAAAATCAGGGTATACTCCAAAAAGTGGCCGCTGGTAAGGGTAATCAGGGTGAATTACCCTTCAAACCCTATCCCTGGGGTAGCTGTGCGGGAAGGGGGGATGGACGCAACAACCATGGGATTGATGCAGCAAGCAGTGGTCCAATGCAGCACGCGGGCAAGGAGCAGTAACTTTCGGCAGTTGGGCCATAGCCTGCGACATCAAACATGCTCTGATGGTACCTCAAACCTCCTACCACGGTACCCCTTAGGGGTCACTCACTCCCGCCTGACGCTTTCCTGTAGGTAAGCCTTGACAGTTGTTCCTTGCAACATGTTGGAAATATCTCAAAGAACTTAAGCGTTTCTGAAGTATAACACTACACTCGAGGAAGACTACAAGGGAGCACGCGAGTCGACGGAGGTTACACGAGGGGGCGGACAAAGAATGCGAAAGGTCGCAACTGGAGGTTGCGACTGACCGTTACAGCATCATGGATGGTAACCGAAGCAGCAATCGAGTCGCTGTGCGACTCGATAAACCGTCCCTGTAACTGTACTCTACAACTGCTTTCTTATCTTCTATATATTGCTGTATGCTTGTTTCCTTAATCAATCACTTGTTCTCACATACTAGTACAAGGGTTCAACCGTCTCAACTTCCGCTGCACTACTCAAAGGCTCAAGTCTTCACAGCTGGGACTTAGTTAACAAACAGTGAAATTGATGAATAGTAGGAGAGAGAACACAAACATATGCCTAAATGTTGTACTCTCTAGAAGATAACCCTATACAGTCTATACAAGCATGATAACTAAACATGTTTGACACACCCCCTGGACTGCATAGGGGAATGTTCTAGACAAGCAGCTCAGGGTGGCACTACTAGTCCAGCCTCTGAGACAAGGGTCTAAAAGACCAGTCAGAAGGAGTACAGGCAAGGCAAGAACTAGTACAGGGCGGCACTACTAGTCCAACCACTGTAAGAGGACACAAGTCCAGTCTGAGTGTACACACAGATATATAGGACAGTACAGAGTCAAGGCCCGAGTAAGTGAGAGACTACAGGAACCAGACCAAGCTGCACACAGTGCCGCTGATGATCTTTAGGCGCAAGCGCCTTCGTAAAGATATCAGCTGTGTTGGCACCGGAGGCCAAGTGTACTACGCGAGCCTGGCGACGCTGCTGTAGCTCACGCAGGAGGAAGTACCGCAGCTGGATGTGCTTCGCTCTGCCCTCGAGTCGAGGCTCCTGACACAGGAGGATCATGGCCCTGTTGTCAGCGTACAGGACCGGGGCAGAGCTAGGCCGCTCACCTAAGTCAGTGAGCAAGAAGGTCAGCCAGCGGAGCTCCTGTGCCGCCATGGCACCGGCGTAGATCTCGGCCTCACAGCTGGACTGGGCAACAGACGAAGAGCGGGTAGCTCTCCACGAGACAGCACCTGAACCAAGGCTAAAGCAGTAGCCCTGGGAAGACCTGAGCGTCTCGGCGTCGTCTGCCCAAGAAGCGTCTGTGTGTCCAGTAAGGACCACTGGCCTGCGTCCGCCTAGCACTAACCCCATGCCCGATGTACTTGCAAGATAACGCAAAACCCTCTTAGCGGCAGACCAGTGCTGAGGTCGGTGCCTGCCTGTGGCCACGAAACGAGCCAGGATGCTGAGAGGGTATGCGAGATCTGGGCGAGTGCAAGTCATCAGGTACATGAGGCAACCCACTAGCTCAGCGTAAGGACCACTGGGATCTACCGACTCCTCAGGAACTGGAGCGGAGAGTCTGTGGTCCAGAGGAAGAGGGGTGGGCTGTGCGGAGGAGAACTGAAGGCCGAACCTCTGAAGGACCTGGCGCACCAAGTGTGACTGAGTCAGGGTGATGGTGCGCGCGGCTCTGTCCCTGGAGATCTGCAAGCCAAGGTAACGGCGCAGCTCTCCAAGGTCAGTGCAGGTGTGTCTCTTCAGCAGCTCTGCCTTCACGGAGGCCAGTGCGTCCCTGTCAGCAGTGGCAAAGACCAGGTCGTCTACGTAGACGAGGATGTAGAACGGAGTCGAGCCAGCACGAACGAAGAGAGAGGGGTCTGCAGAGGACGGAAAGAACTGCAGGTCAGCAAGGGTAGCACGCAAAGTGTCGTGCCACTCACGAGGCGCCTGGCGCAGGCCGTAGACTGGCCGCCGCAGAAGCCACTGGGTCCCAGGGGGGAAGGTGCCAGTAAAGCCCTGAGGGCGACGCAGGTAGACCTGCTCGTGAAGGCTGCCCTGAAGAAAGGCAGTGGAGAAGTCGAGGGAGTGAAGCTCGTAGTCACGCTGAGCCGCTACGTGTAGCAGCACCCGAAGAGTAGTCATCTTCGGGGTAGGAGCGAAAGTCTGAAAGAAGTCCACCCCCTCGCGCTGACTGAAGCCTCGAGCCACGTAGCGCGCCTTGAACACAGGCGGCTCTCCAGGAGGGCGCTTCACCTTGAAGAGCCAACGGCCATCGACCACGTTCACCCCAGGTGGGGGAACTGCGTCGACGAAGGTGCCGGTGGATCTCCAAGATGCCATCTCCTGCTCCATGGCAGCTATCCACTGAGAGGCCCAGGGTCCCGAAACCGCCTCAGCGTAAGTACGAGGGGTCGGGATGTCGAAAGCGTCTGGGTCACCCTCAGGGACTAGCAGCATGGAACAGAGATGGGGAGCAGCCTCGGACAGGAAAGCAAGCTCAAACTGGCGGTCCTCCAGGACGTCACTGCCGAGGGCAGGAGCACCCCCGACAGACGGAGGACAGGCAGGGTGAGAGACCAGAGCGGTGGCGTAGTCAAGGCGGCGGGTAGAGGCGAAGTCAGCGACCGCAGCGACGAGGGCGTCAAGACTCGACACGGGAACAGACGGGTCGGTAACGAGAGAGGCAAGGACCCGAGGAACAAGAGGACGAGCGGCACGAAAGGAGTCGGACAGAGGAGGAGACGCAACGACAAGAGAAGACGGAGGAGGAGACGGGAGGAGGGGAGGTCGAGACGCGTGGGAACGGAGCAACATAGGGTGAGAGCGCGGGACAGGGGAGACAGGACGAGCACGAGAGGGGCGGCGAGACCAGACGTGTGAGGGCGGCGTCGGGTCAGGAGACAGAGGAGGGGACACAGGAGGGGAACGAGGGGGAAGACGAGCCGGGGACGAGTCTGGCAGAGGGAACACGGGGCCGTAGACGGGAAGAGGGGGAGACGGCAGGAGAGGAACAGGCGCAGGGTCAGGAGACGGAAGGCCGAGCAGACGGAGGGCGGACACAGGCGGGGACTGCTGCTGCGGCGACACAACACCAACACCAGGGCCACAAGCGGCGCGACGGCTACCGCCCGAACCCTCCACACCTGCACCCCCAGAAGGGACACCCCCAGAGTCCACAAACGGCGGCAGCGACGACAGCGGCGGCGGCGGCGGCGGCTGCAGCGACGGCTGCGACGGCGGCGGCGGCGGAGACGACGGCTGCAACGGCGGCGGCGGTGGAGACGACGGCTGCAGCAGCTGCGGCGACGGCGGCTGCGGAGGCGGTGGAGGAGGAGACACCGGGGGAGGGACAGACGGCGAGGACTGCGCCGGAGGACTACCAGAGTCAGAAGACTCGTCGACCGGGACGACCGACGGGAGGGGGGTGACGTGAGACACACCAGAGGGGGCCGGACGGGGGGGCGGGGGGGGGGAGGGGCAGGGACCACCAGGGAGGGAGGAACCAGGAAAAGGGGGGGAGTAACCGGGGGACCACGGTGGGGAAAGCGGCGGTAGAAGGAGACGGACTCGTCAAAGGTGACGTCGCGAGAGTGAAAGAAGCGGTGAGACGGCGGGTGGTAGAAGTGCCAGTCGGACGCGTCAAGGGGGAAACCGAGGAAGACGCAGGGGAGGGTGCGGGCAGTGAGCTTGTCCGTGCCAGAGGCACGAACGTGAGCAAGGCAGCCCCAGACGCGGAACGCAGACGCGTCACCAGGGGACCCGGTCCACAGAAGGGTCGGCGAAACCTGCGGCCGCTGGGGGTGCGGCCACAGGTTAAGCTGGTGAGCGGCGTAGCGCACGGCGAACGGCCACAGAAAATGGGGTGCACCGGCGTGGATCATGGAGGTGCGAGCCACCTCCATAACCAAACCGATGCGTCGCTCAGCGACCCCATTCTGCTGCGGGGAGTCCGGCAGGGTAAACGTCTGGGTGATGCCCTCCGCACGACAGAAGCGACCAAGGACACCTGAGGCAAACTCGCCACCCCGGTCGGAGTGAAGGCGCAAGGCAGGGAGACCGCGGTGGACACGAGCAGAGACAAGCCAGGGGATGAGAACGTCAGGCACGTCGGCCTTCCGCTCCAGGGGGAAGACGGTGGTGTAGCGCGTGAAGTCGTCGACAAGCACTAGGAAGAAGCGCTCGCGACGCGGCCCATGGACCGGGGCTGGGCCCCAGACGTCCATGTGCAGAGTCTGCAGTGGTGCGGTGGTAGGGGGAAAAGAGGAGGAGTGAGGGGTACGGCGGAGCCGGCCCTCGACACAAGGCGTGCACGGTGGGGCGGGGGAGGAGGGAAACTCGGGGAACGAACCGGGGAGACCAAGGACGAGACCGTGCTGGGACATGTGACGCAGACGTGGGAGTGCAGGGTGACCAAGGCGGTGGTGCCAAAGGAGAGTCGGGTGAGTGAGGGACCGACAGGAGCACGCGGCTGCAACCTGGGTGGACGCAACTACCGGGGGGGAAGACCCAGCCGGGGACAGCGCGGTGTCAAGTGTGAACAGGCCGGACACCGGGTCCCGGGGGAAAGTGGTAAGGGGGGCACCAGTGGCGGCCTCGGTACAGACAGCATACCGCTCGTGACCAGGGAACGTAGTGGTGACGCCAAGGTCCTGGAGGCAGCCGACACCAACTAGGTTCCTGGAGAACGAGGGGATATGCAGACCTGTGAGAGTGCCCGAAGGAACCGCCGGACAGGGAAGGGAGGTGGAACTGCGGGCAACGACGGGACCACCGGAGGGGTCAGCAAGAGTAACTGCAGCGGGAACAGGCAGCGGCGTCAGCGTCGTGGAGTCGCGGAAGAAACACCGGGAGGCGCCAGAGTCCAAGGTGAAGGAAAGCGCAGCAGTCGCGCGAGGCAGCAGTGAAGCGGTGGAAGCACCAAGGCTAAGCAAAGCAAGAGATCCTACGCCTGACGCAGCAGGGGAGTCTACGCTAGGCACCGCTACACTAGGCAACACGGGGTAATAAGAGGGAAGCACACTAGAGTCATCAGCATACATCACATGCAAGGCCGCTACAATGGCATCCATGTCCAAGTCAAAAATCCTAACGCTACGCCTAAGCAAGCTGTGCCAGTCCGGGAGGTCGGGCGCCGGGCCAAAGCGCTGGCGGAACAGGTCGTCCAGGCGACGAAAACAGCGAGGAGTAGAATGACCGATCTTACCGCAAACGAAGCCGCGGCGAGGACCGGTCTGGATCTGGTACTGACAGGGCCCGCCTCCAGAGCCACCACCCGGTGCACCACCACGCGCACGACCACCACCAGCTCCAGGCCACCCAGGTGGGAGAGTACTCGCCTGCCTCGTCTGCGGCGGCTGCTG